GCATCCGACTTTGGCTCAGGTCATGATCTCACAGTCCGTGAGTTCGAGCCCCTGCGTCGGGCTCTGTGCTGACAGCTCAGAGTCTGGAGCCTGCTTCAGTTTCTGTGTCTCCCCCTCACTCTGCCCCTGCCCTGCTCGTGCTCTGTCTCTCTCTCTCTCTCTCTCTCAAAAATAAATAAACATAAAAAAAAGATATTTATAGTTATCTTTAGTCAGAAACATAACAACAACAACTTCCTGCAAAGGACACCATGCACTGCACAGTGCTTTCCAAAATTGTGCTTTGTATCTGATTTTTGGAAAAGCTAAAAATGATTAATAACAGTAGGGTGTTTTATCTGGTGATATATACCTGAGGATAATGAAGTTTTGGCTGTTTATTTATTTTTGCCCATGAATTACCATATCTTAATGGGACGATTGTCTATTCTCTTAATCTCTCCTTTTTGTTTTGTTAAATTTTTAAATGTTATTTATTTATTTATTTATTTATTTATTTATTTATTTAGAAAGCACGAGCGGGAGGGGCAGAGAGAGACAGAGAGGGAGAGAGAGAGAATCCCAAGCATGGGGCTCAATCTCACAACCATGAGATCATGACCTGGGCCGAAATCAAGAGTTGGACACTTAACTGACTCAGCCACCCAGGTGCCCTTAATTTCCCCTGTTTAAACTATAATTGCAGCACCTCTGTTTCTCTTTCTCTATGTATAACAGAAAATGAAAGATTCAGTCAATTATGCAGGTATTTTCAATCATTTTATGGATAAGTTATGGTGAAGATAAAAAATCTGAATGAATGACAACAATTTGTCTTTTATTCAGATTTATGAATCAAATATATACAACTCTCCTATCTAAATTTAGCAAGACAAATTTTCTTTATGAAAGCATTAAGTGTTTACATTAGCACAATCCAAAACAAGGGCTTAATATTTCAGTCATGTTGAATAATGATGTTTTTATTTAAATGCTCCTGCAAGGAGTTGATTGGTTCTCAAATTTTCCACAGATTAGTTCTCAGTTTAGAATCTTATATATTATTTAAATCAAATATTAAAGAGTGTTGATATCAAGGGGCCAAAAGAGAATGCCAGTCACCAGAAATCTGTTGTTGCTAATACAAATTTCACTAACGTAACAAAAACAACATGGTAATGAAATGGATTGACTGCAGAATGCCTTCTTATAACTCAAGTCACAGGAATTAATCAATTTTTATTCATACATTTTAGTTACTTACCATATCCCTAATTAATTCTAAATCATACATCACAGTTTCTAAGCAGCCATTTGTACACATATATTAATGTAATCAGAGAGCAAATTCATAAATTACACATTGTATGGAAGGCTCATAAAAGTGTACGATTATATAAAAAAATCAATTTCTAAGTCAATAACAAGAAAAAAGATCTTGTAGAAAATCTGAAATTTGAAATGAAAAGTATTTCTTTGGCCAAAGCTTAACATGCCTTCAAATGCTATCAGGTTTTCACATGGCCACTCTTGTGGACATGCCCCCATCCATTTAATATGTAAATAGTAGGAAATTCATGACTGTGCCAAACACATTGAATTTTCCTTTCTCTTTCCTAAGAGTTAATAATAACCCACAAAGTACTTGCCTTTTTCTCCCTGGTGATTTAACATTAATTTGATATCACTTTAAGAAAGGTCCGTGGGGAGTGCCTGGGTGGCTTAGTCGATTGAGCATCTCGACTCTTGATTTTGGCTCAGGTCATGTGGGCATTGAGCCCCACATCAGGCTCTGCTGCTGAGCATGGAGCCTGCTTAAGATTCTCTCTCTCTCTCTCTCTCTCTCTCTCTTTCTCCCTCTGCCCCTCTCCCCCACTCATACTCCTTCTCTCTCTCTCTCTCAAAAAACACTGCAAATATTAAACCTGAGTATCACTTCGCAGTTACTCGCCACATCATACAACTTTGTTTTTTTTTTTTTTTAATTTTTTTTCAACGTTTTTATTTATTTTTGGGACAGAGAGAGACAGAGCATGAACGGGGGAGGGGCAGAGAGAGAGGGAGACACAGAATCGGAAACAGGCTCCAGGCTCCGAGCCATCAGCCCAGAGCCTGACGCAGGGCTTGAACTCATGGACCGTGAGATCGTGACCTGGCTGAAGTTGGACGCTTAACAGACTGTGCCACCCAGGCGCCCCAATACAACTTTGAAAGTAATGAATTGATTCCTTCTATGCAACTGAATAAAAATTTGAAGGAAATTTTGTTAGTAGCTGACATCTGCATCACCTAGGATGAATTTCTTTTATAAAGTACAAAACTCCCTACCTGACTGGCTACCTATCCACCTCTCCACATGTATGTATTTCTGTACTTTAATTGGACACAACATCAAATTCTGTAAAATCAGATGGGAGGGGATAGAATCAGTCATTATTAGTAGAAATCCACTATGTTTTCCACAGTACTGAGCAGCCCTTCAAACCTGATTAAAATGATGGCACACTGACATAATGCTGCTATTAATTTTCTCTAAACAAGACATTAAAGAAAAAATTGCAAATTCACATGAAACTCAGTACCCACCAGGGAACTCCTATGTGTGTTTTTCAGGTGTCAGTAAGCTTTTCGTAAGCCTGGATGCACTAACTACATACATCTGCACAAGCTATTATATATAAAGATATTAACAAGAAAAAAAGAATCATAATTTTATGTATTAATATGCTGATTTCCTTCAGTAGGCTTTGGCATAGTCACCTATAATGGGGGAAAAACAATATTTTTCTGCAAGCACTTGCATGAGGTCACTGTGTTGGAAACAACCCCTCATATTGACCAGGAAAAGGAAAGGAAAATCATCTTAAAGTTGGTAAGATATTTTCGTCTTCCTACCTAGGAGAGTAACAGAATTTCCCTGGTGAATAAGGGGATGCATCAATCCTATAAATACTCTTCCTTGCAGAAACAATAAGTCTTCACTTGTTTTTGTATATTTCTACATATGGCACTGCTCTTTCTCTGAATTCAGTCTTATCATTTTTATTTCCTAAATAATTACAAATCTGAATTTAGGTAAGAAGTTTTTCCCTTAGCAAATAAAACTAGAGAGAATAGAAACTCTTTCTGGTTTTCACTGTATTTAAGGAAAAGGTATTCCACTCTGATCATTCATTTTATATTTTGTATTACCAAAGATATGGAAAACATGTTTTTCCAAAGAGCAATATCCAAGAAGATAATATAAAAAGTATCATTTATCAGAATCAAAGAGTTCTAAAATATCAAACAATGAACTTCAGTTTTAGTCACTCACTTGATTTTCTAGACTCTTATTATTTTTAAATTTTTTTTTCAACATTTATTTATTTTTGGGACAGAGAGAGACAGAGCATGAACGGGGGAGGGGCAGAGAGAGGGAGACACAGAATCGGAAACAGGCTCCAGGCTCTGAGCCATCAGCCCAGAGCCTGACGCGGGGCTCGAACTCACGGACCGCGAGATCGTGACCTGGTTGAAGTCGGACGCTTAACCGACTGCGCCACCCAGGCGCCCCTCTTATTATTTTTAAAATCAGGCTTAATCTTTGCAAAGAAAATTTATTTAAAAATTGTTTTCATTCAAATTTGATACTCTGCCCCAGTTACTCAGAAGATAAAAATTCTGAAAACATTAATCTAAAAGGGTTGATGTAATTTGCTAAACTAAGTAGAACTGAACTAAAATATTTACATACAGGGGTGCCTGGGTGAATCAGTCGGTTAAGTGTCCGACTTGATATCAGCTGAGGTCATGATCTCATGGTTCGTGGGTCAAGCCCCGAGTTGACAATGCAGAACATGCTTGGGATTCTCCCTCTCCCTCTCTCTCTACCCCTCCCTCACTCACACTCTCTCTTTCTCAAAAATAAATAAACTTTTAAAAAATTGCTTTAAAATATGTACATAAAAAGGCCACAAGGTTCTCATAGCTCAGTTACTTTTTGTGAGTCAAATGGAAAACCCAACAAAACCTCTATACTCAGTGAAGGGGAAAACAGGTTCCAGTTAATTTCCTTACTTTCACATATATACACAAATATGCCTAAAAAGAAGCAGCATAGGGGCACCTGGGTGGCTGAGTCAGTGAAGTGTCAACTCTTGAGTTCAGTCAGCTCAGATCATGATCTCACACAGTTTGTGAGTTCAAGCCCCATGATGGGCTCTGTGCTGACAGCACATAGCCTGATTGCAATTCTCTGTCTCCTTCTCTCTCTGTCCTTCTCCCACTCGTTCTCTCTCACTCTCTCTCAAATAGATAAATAAATAAACTTAAAAAAAAAGAAAGCAGCAGAAAGGTTTTTTTCTTTTTTTAAATTGTATTAAATTTCATGTTACATCCGGTTAATATGACAATTTGTTTTCCAGGGATCACTTAGTGGGAGGAAAATAGAGAATAAACAAAATAAGTAAGTAAATAAATTACACATATAATGATAAATGTTTTGGAGAAAGATACATTTAATTTTATAGAACACAAGAAGGGAGCCAGAGAACCACAGAAAATCTTATGAGAGAAACACTGCTTTAAGGAAAGTACTCTGGGAACACTGTGCCAGCCCTACAGCAAAGCAGAGGGAACAGAGATGAGTGATGAGGACAATTTAAATCGGGGCAGATGATAATGCAGCTGCCACAGCTCAAAAGCAATGGGAGCGCTGAGGTGGTATGAATCCAACAGACACTTCAAAGGAAAATCTGAGATTTAGTCACTTATTGGATACAGGCAAAACAAAGAGGAGGAGAAGCAAGCAAGATCTTCAATACTCTATACCTAGAGACCAGGAAAATGGCGTCATTGATATCGTTTACAGAGACATTTTCAACAAAAGGATAACCAAAGAATTGCTTATTTCTACTGAAGCCAGAACCACCTAAGTCCTGAGTTTATGCTTGACGGTAATAGCTCAGGGTCTCCTCCAATCCTTGCAGTGTTTTCGAACACTTCTGCAATATTTCTGTACATGTTTGGAAAATGCTCACCAGTTTGCCACCAGTGGTCTAGGACAGGTACTCTGAAGACCTTTTTGGACCATTCCAGGGTCTCCACATCACATCGTTCTCCAGCCACAAACAACGTTTTGAACCTGAATATAAGAGGGAGCATGAATTCAAATTACTCCTTGAAAATAAATCTAAATAATTTCATCCTCATTCTTTAAAACATTCTAGAATCCAACCACATTAATTCCATCAAGGAAAACAACCTATTATCACTATATCATATTATAGAATGGTGAGAAGGATTATTTGTTTTGACCCAAATGTAGCCAAATGGACATCGCAACATTGAAGAAAGGTGCTTCCAAAGAATTTACAACTACAGCTTCTCAGTTTGGAGAAGAGCAATTGAGTTGATCTTTGTACTGCATCTGTCATATTCATCTAATGATCAAAGATGAAAACGTTTTTCCTCCTTGACATTATGTCTGCTAATTTTAGCTCCATGTTTGATTGCTGTATTCTATTTAAGTCTATACACAAAAATATACTCTTGAATATCAGCTAAGGCAACAAACAAGCTCATAAATATGATGTGCTTGTTCATTTTGGTGAGTTCCTTTGATAAAAATTACTCTGATTTCAAATACATATTTACCCTATTCCAAGGACATACATAGGAAAAACAGGTTATTTAAAAGTAAATACCATTGTGACCTTTCTGGTCAAAAAGACTCTTATCAAAAGGAATACAAGGTTATTAAAGAGAGCACTATGCCACAGAATAGAAAGGATGAAATAGATAAATGGAATTGGGTTGACACTTTTGGTGGTTCATTAAAAGAATGATTGTTTTTCTTTTATTCTCAATGTTTCCATGGTCTATCAAAAAAAAATGTATGTATGAAGAGTTAATTCATTGTCATCAAAGTAAAAATCAATCAAATAAATAAAAACCTGCCTACCCATTCTAAACAATATAATATTAGCCACAGGAGATTTCTTACAGTTCCCTTGTCATCTCATGAAGATTCATGGAGATGCAGATACTCCCACACCTATGCTCCATCAATATACATTTCCCCTCTTGGCTATAAGCATATACATCATTTTATACTTATTTGTTTCTTGTCTATTTCCTACAGTGGACCGTGAGCTCCTTAAGAGCATTTATCTTCATGACGTCAATACCCATAAAAGAATATCTGGGACTTTTAGGTACTTGAACGTTTCTAGAAGCTCAGGAAGATGAAGTAGAGAGGTGGGGTATAGGTAAAACTTATGTCAGCTTGACTCATTCTTCTAAGTAAAAGAGGAAGCATGCTGTTTTGTTAGAGCATGGAAATAGACAATAGGAAAGTGACTTGAAGAGAGAAAATTTCTGGCTATTTTAGGAAATTTTTAATGAATAACATAAAAGCAAAAGAAGTGAAGAGCAGCCACTTGGCTTTCTTTCACTGATTCAATTAGTAGGTCTAGGAGGCCAAGTGGAGACAACACAAACTGTGTGTAGTACAGAAATAACGGGTGGCAAGTCACACTAAAATTGCTGTCTGGCAAATCTAGAGCAGGTGTGAGAAATAGGGAAGCAAAGTAGGAATAATCGTGATGGAGAAAGATATCAGGAAAAATAATATAAAGACAGAGAGATGTAATTTCAAATTTCAGATCACCCATTACTAGTCTTTGTTAAGAAACCATTTAAATAATGTGGATCAATCATTGTGGTGAGTCACCTCTCAAAGTATGCAAGGCTGCTAGGTGATAATTTCAATCTTTAAGAGCACTCAAGGGAAACAGAGAAAAGGGATGAAAGTAGGAAAGCAAAAAGGGAGAATAATGAGAGACAGAGACTAGAAAAGAATAAATTAGACTTTCTGACTATATATATTATGTGTATATATATACATATATATACAATATATATGTATATATATATACACATATATATTATATATATTTACATAATATATATATGTATGTTTGCAACCTGAGATAAAATTTAGATAATTAAATGTATATTCATTATAACATGCTTAACATTAAAATGTGGACACCAAATATGACCTCATCTGGCAAAAGAGATATAGCACAATAAAACAAATATTAAAACATTAAATTATTAAAACTAGGTTAAAATATTAAAAAAAAGATTAGGGGCGCCTGGGTGGCTCAGTCAGTTAAGCGTCCAACTTCAGCTCAGGTCATGATCTCATGATCCGTGAGTTTGAGCCCCGCATTGGGCTCTGGGCTGACGGCTCAGAGCCTGGAACCTGCTTCCGATTCTGTGTCTCCCTCTCTCTCTGCCCCTCCCCCATTCATGCTCTGTCTCTCTCTGTCTCAAAAATAAATAAACGTTAAAAAAAAATTTAAAAAAAAGATTAGTGTAAAGTTTTAAAGTTTAAAATGAAGTCAATACATTTGTGTTTTTAGATGCCAGGTAAAAACAAGACAAAAATTTAAATATAAAGGCCCATATTGTTGATAATCCTATGACTCAAAAATGTGAACTTATTTTAATTACATTTTCTTTAAACAGATTCCTAATATTTTAGAAAAAGTCTGTGATTACAACCATTATGCACATAGATAATTTGTATTAAAATTTATAAATGATATGTTTGGGTGATTCCAACAGTTTAGGCAAAGAACAATAAAAAGGAAGAGTTTTACAGATATCAGAGGCCATATTTCCATCATCTATCAAGTCACAGATTACTCCAAAGAGCTCTAGATCATTCAGATGGTCAGATGTTCAGTTTATATGTGAAACTGCAGATCTAGAATTATATATATTTTTGAAAACATGGGGTAAAATATTGTCAATTAAAAATATTAACACATAATACAAAATAATTTTTGGCTAATTAAAGGGCAACCGACATCTTGATATCACCACCATTTTTGCAAGTTTTAATTTATTTTTTTGGCTTTTTTCCCCAGTCAAGTAAATTACAATTAATCTAATTAATTGGTTATAATGATAAACTATTAACTAGTATTGAGTTTTTATCTGATGACAAATTTCCACATTATATATTTTAAAGCTTAGTATTTATTATTGTGGTTTTGCAGTACAATTCTATCACTTATTTTTCTTAGAATTTAATTACATTTTTATCATTATGGTAGCAATATTCATGCTGGCACTAATAAGCCATATATAAAGATGAAATTCCATAATGAGTAGTAAAGGTGATATCTGGCTTTTCTGCATGTCAGTCTCTTCCATTTCCAAAAAAGTCATTTATTATTTACTAAAACAGAGGAAAAATTGCAAGATGATTGGTGATTTAGAAAAATGTTAAAGTAGTATAGATTAATTCCTTTCCCTAAATACACTAAAATCTATCAATCTACTTTTTTTATTAAAATTCCTCAAACTGCCCCAAAGTTATTACTTTTGTCAATTACAGACTCCTAATTGTGTAACATTATTGAACATTAACATACTGTATACAAAGATTTATGAATAGAATATGACAAAATTAAGTCTTATAATAAATACTTAATCAAATATTATTAACTCCTGGAGCACCTGGATGGCTCAGTCAGTTAAGCATCTGACTTTTGATTTTGGCTCAGGTCATGATTTCAGGGTTGTGGGATCAAGCCCCGCATCAGGCCCCACGTTGGGCTCTTTGCTGAGAGCACAGAGCTTGCTTAGGATTCCTTCTCTCTCTGCCCCTGCCCTCTCATTCATTCTCTCTCTCTCTCTCTCTCTCGCTCTCTCTCTCTCTCTCTCAAAAAATAAACTTTAAAAAAGCTTATTTAATGGAGCGCCTGGGTGGCTCAGTCAGTTGAGCATCCGGCTTTGGCCCAGGTCATGATCTCATGGTTCAGGAGTTCGAGCCCCGCATCAGGCTCTGTGTTGACAGCTCAGAGTCTGGAGCCTGCTTCAGATTCTGTGTCTCTCTCTCTCTCTGCCCCTCCCCCATTCATGTTCTATCTCTCTTTCTCAAAAATAAATAAACATTAAAAATTTTTTTTAAAAAAGCTTATTTAATATATATATTATTAACTCTCAATTCCTCATAGTAAATAAAACCATTCAATGTGATATGATATTTCTATAACCAAGATGATTACTGAAATAAAAAAAAAACAGCATAAATCTATAATTATAAAGATAAATTGTAAGATAATTTGAAGATAAACTCATGCCTTAAGTCAGGCTTATTTTTTAAAGGACATTTTGTGGCTTATAATAAAAAAGAATAGTAACATCACTTAATAAACTTCTCATTAATGACCTTGCAAATATTTTATTGATAATATGAAAAGACAAATACCTCAAAATGAAAATATTTAAGCAATTTTTCCTTGAAAATGCATTTTATAAAGATTAATATTAGCCACTCTCATAGTAACTTGGATTCTCTGGAATCCAAATTTACCTAAGTTAATTACATAGGTCTTCTATCTACGCTATAACTACACTGTATAATATGGAAGCTCTAAGCTACATGTGGCTATTTAAATTTTAAATTAGTTAAAATTTAAAAAAAATATATCAATGTCATGATAGGATTATCCTCTTGTCAAGAGTTCAATAGTCACATGCAACTTCTATCTACCATATTGCAGAGCTCAGTTTTATTGTATAGTGCTGTCATAGATTTTGATAGACTAATAAATATATGGGTAATATTCTGATGATAGTAACACAGGGAAAGATGAATTTACTTCCAAGCATATACTACCAAAAACTTAAACAAAATTATAACATACAATATCTAGAGTAGAAAAAACCAGTAGGGGGATAGAATTAATGGGAATGAAACCTGTCTACTTTTCCCCAATTCTGTGTAAAATGGAGTACAATTCAACACTCAAATGAAGCTGAAAATTAAGCCAAGAGAAAGAGAAAAACAATAATATTGTCAAATTAATTTTAGTCCAAAATTAAAAGGAAGCTGCCCAAAAATGGATAAAAGCTAAAGATAAATTCTGATGAAGAATTTTCAGGTAATAAATTAAGAACAGAAGAAAACTAAAGTGAATATTTCTTTCAAGCTCCATAAACTACCAAACAAGTGAAAAGTACTCTTCACTTGTGCCAAAAGAAGTTAAATAAAAATAGATCATTTCAGCAATGCCTCGTCAACTTCTAGTCTACAGAATATCATTACTTTTGCCACCAGTG